AAGATCATTCTCCTCCAAAATAGAAGCTTTTAGCAGACAATCTGATTTTGCATCTGCGAGGAAATCATTTATCTGTATCTCATATTCTTTCTCATACAAACCATTCGATATTTTTTTTTCTTTTCAATTTCAACTAATAAATTGTACGTAATGTAATCTAACCAAACAAGAAAAGGGTAAAACATAGCAATTTTTTACAATTTTAATCTTCAATTAATACCAACTTACTACATTTAATTTGAAGATAATTTTTTAAGTTGATTTGGGGGGTGATATAAAGGAGGCCATTGGCATGCTCAAAATACATAAAAGGACAAGTTCATCATGCAAATGATACAAAAATGAAAGCATTAGCATGAGATGATTTAATGCAATTTGTGAAGTATATTTTTTTTCTTAACTTTTTAATATTATTATATAAAAAATTACAACATCCCTAATATTTTTATATACACATTATTATTATTATTATTATTGTTGCTAATTCAGTTATACTATATACAAAAATGTGTCATTTATACATCTAAAATTACTATTATATTTATAATTATTAATATCAACATTCGTAGCATAGTACATTAGACATACCATTAGTCGTTTTATTTATACCAATCAAATAAATATAGTACAAACATAGAAAATTGTGAAATAAATTAAACTTCAAATAGCAATCAGTAAGAAGTATATGATAATTTTTAATTTATGCAAGTATTTATTAATAATTCAATAAGTAATACAATACTATGAATACAATTCTTCACATGACATTATTCTATAATCATGGCTACCCGACACATCATATGAACCCAAAATCATCGAATTTTAGCATTAAAGAAGAGTCACAAGTTTAACTACTATTTATCACTCATTGGCTCATGATCATCAATTTCTTCAAGTTATAATCATGATAGTCCATTTTTCAGTAAGAATCTTTTGACTTAATTTATAAGTTCATACTATTATCATTTTTAATCATGTCAAAACTATGTCCAGTACTAACTAGAAATATACATTAGATTTCATATCTTTTTCAACCAAGGTTAAACTAAACCCATTTTGATAATGCATAAACCTATTTCTAATATTTTAAATTAGAAAATCATTTTTCCTTACTTTTATTAAAAATTAATAATTCTCAAAATTCAATAGAATTTCCTCTGTAAATAAGATATATCCAAAAAAAAAAAAATGATCCTACAAAAACAAAATTTTGAAAAAACAACACATCCAATTTTAGTATAAATATTTCTCCCTCTATTACTCTATTTTATTCTATATTCAAAGTATATTAATCAATCATATATTAAGTCAATCAACTATAAGGCTGTTCAAAAAATCTAGATCTGGAAGTCCAATTTACATTCAAATCTAAATTAGTTTTAAAAACTATATTTTAATAAAACTAGATATTTAAACTCACTTTATTTTTTAATTTAAATTTGGACTGAATCTCATTTAATAAATCTAGATTTTATTTATTAAAACTGGATAAAATATGTATTATTCTTCTCTTCTTTGTCAAAAGAATATAAAATGAGGGAAGATTAAGTTTGTATCCCCTTTCATCCAAATTATAAGTCTAGGCATATTCTTCTACCGATGCACAACTAGATTCTCAGTCATTTTTGTCGTTTCATGGTTAAAAAACAAAATATTATTAATAAAAAAATTATAAAAAATCAGTCATTAGTTAAAAGTTTCAAAAATTAAAAAAATTATTATATTACAAATTTATTATATCATTTTTTGTTAATTTAATAACAAGATTTAATAAATTAAAAAATATTTTTAATTTAGGTAAAAAATCACATAATAAAGAATTGATAAATAATAATTTTTAATAAAAATATAAAAATTAATATTTTTAATACAAATTACATTTTTAAAAAATGTTTAAATATTTTATCAACATTGAAATGAGAAAACAAAATTTTAAAAAATGAATTAATAATAATTATAAAAATTATATGGTTTTAACTAAAAATAAATTTAAATTATAAAATGAGATAAAGCTAATTTAATTAAAACTAAGTTTAAAATTGATTTTAAACTAAATCTAAATTTTAAAATTAGTTTTAAACTGATTTTATAAAAAATAAAATAAATGATTTTAAAATCCAATCCTCGTAATTGGATTAAAAATGAATTTAAATTAATTTTTTTTATAATCACAAAGTTAGAATTAATAGGAGCACAAATTGTGTTCAAGGATACAAGCAGAATAATACAATTAATACAAACAATGCAATTAATTCAAAGCCTCAATTGATAGCTTTGAGAAAGTTCTACTCACAGCTCAACAGACCACCTATCTATGTTCTAATTAATTCTCCCCAAAAATATATACAAATCTCCATTACTATTGTATTCAAACCAAAATAACAAACTCCCTTTCTTCTTTTTTTAGTAATACGGTTCTTGCATGACGATTAATAACCATCAAAATCTTCCCCTTCCATACCAAAGACAGTATATACATGATTGCAAATTCTTGACAATAACCTCAGTCAATCAACCTATGACAACAACTATATTAAAGAAATAGCAGCTGAGAGCTATCCATTGGATTAGTGCACCACGCTAAATAGGGAAAGCACATTGAACTTGAGTTTCCTGTCATAGCTTTCCATGATTTCAATTTGATACTTTCAACCACTTTGCTAGCGTACACTTTCAAATTAGAGAAAATGACCTCATTTCTATGTTTCCAAATGCACCAACATACCAAACTCCATATAGTTAAGTTCATTTTCCACCTCTTTTTGCCTGCAATTATGTTGGAAAAGTACGCAACATTGGCCTCGGTGGTTCCTGCTATCTGAATTTGACAGTTGATAAGTCTGTAATTAGACCCTCTTTTACAGCCCATATATTTATATTTGACTTTTATTTTATTTGAATTTTACACTAATTTATATATTAATTATGCAGTTTGGTATAAAGATGCCGCAAGTATACTTTGAGTGTGTTTTGGACCCAAATTGATAGAAAATTAGAGCTTCGCAGCAGTCAGCACGCCCAGATCTTTTCAACAAGTACGGGGTGCTTCAAACTCATGCATGGTCGTACTTAAGGCTTGGCACAGCCCATGCTCATCTGCGGGAAGCCTAATTATGAAAAATCTTTAGGGTTTTCAAACCTTATTAAAAGGAAGACCTAAGGCACCATTAAGGGACCGTTTTTGACATCTTGGCTTTGACTCTAGAATACATATGATCTCGTCTCTCCTGCACAGGATCCTTGGCACATGCTTAGCGAGACTTTGAGCTTCAAGCGATCGTACTTGAAGACCGAGAACACATCTCATACTCTATTTTGATATTTCTTTTGATTATGGCTTTGTTTATGATTATTTTAGTTCTTTTCTTTAGCATGAGTAACTAAGTCCATAGCTAGGGTTATGGGAACTATTGTTCATGAATTTATGGAGTTTTGACGTTTGAATCTAAATTTGATTTCCATTTCATAATTAGATTTTATCCTATTGTACTTCTCTCTAAATTCTAATTAATTATATCATCAGGCGACCGTACCTCAGTTAATTAATAGATCTATAGGGTAAAACGAGACAAAGGATTAAGTGGACCAAACCAATCTTTCTCTTCTAATCGTTATTAAATTAACAAGTTCATAGGTTCCTTAAGCTTTCTTAAATTGATGTCTTGCATGACCATTGAGAATGTTAATTTAGAGAAAAGAATATTAATATTGCATGACTACTGGGTATTAATAGTATTCGTATGAATGATTGGTAATCACAAGAAAATTGGATTTAGAGTTAAATAGAAAAATAACATAAAGGATTGAATGAGAAAATCCATATGCCCTAGGTTCCTCTCTGATAAGTTTAACTAGAACGTGCATTGTATTCCTTGTTCTTAGTTTATAATTAATTTTATAAATTCTTGTTTTAATTAATCTCATATCTTTGAAGCTTAAACAATTGAATTAGAAAATTCTTAATAATTGGAAAACAATCCTTATGGGGCGATATTTTAAAAACTTAATTTAAGAACCCTTTATTACTTCTCGATGGGTACACCTGCCCTCCGAACAAGTTTTTGGAATCCATGAAGCTATCTGATGCCAAACTATCCTTGCAAATGCACATTCAAACAACAAGTGGAATGCCGATTCTGGCTCACAACCACACAAAACACAGATCATTTTCCAATATATGACCCATACCCCTTGAGACCAAGTTGAGTTTAGAGGGAAAACCATTATGCAAGACTTGCCATATAAATACTTTGACTTTGTGGGGTGTCCAACAAAGCCAAATCTTTTTAAGAATTACACCAGGGACTTGTTCCAAAGCTATCTCTCCACTACAGAAATTTTGAATAGCATGATACCCAGATTTTACATTGTATCCTTTGACTCTATCTTTCATCCACACCCATCTATCTAAAGAATTTTGAATAGGTTAGTGTCCCTGCAATATAGAAAACAAGTCAGAGAAAATGGTTACCTCCACCTGTCTCAATTGCCTCCTCCAACCTATTCTCCATTCCCATCTCCCATCTATCCACACTCCATTTTCCCTCACAAGGCTGTCTTTATCTAATGCCAAGTTGTATAGCCTAGGAAATAAGTTTTTGAAGCTGTAAACACAAAGCCAAACCTCCCTCCAAAACTTAACGGTCCCCCATCACCCATCACTTTCTTTGTACCATTAACCCCCCACCCATTAGCTAGGCTCACAACTTTCCTCACACCTCTCCACTACCAAGATGCCTTTGAGTTAGAGAACTTTACATTTGAAATAGCAAAATCATAACCATATCTTGCTCTAAGGATACCCCTATAAGTTGCTTTGATTGTTTAAGGCTCTCCATGCCCACTTTTCCAACAAGGCCCAATTGAAATGCTCAATATGCTTTACTCCCAAACCGCCTATCTCTTTGTTCTTACACACTACCTCCCATTTAACCCATGAGATTTTCTTTGTATCCTTGACATCTCCCCATAGGAACCTCCTTTGGATTTGAATCACTTCCTTAACCACCCCCTTTTGGCATCTTATAAAACAAAAGGTAGTGAATAGGAATGCTATTAAGAACCGCATTTAATAAGGTCACCCTTCCTCCAATAGACAAGAATCGGGTCTTCCAACTCCCCAATCTAGATTTCAACATGTCTATTAGTCTTTCCCATGTGCTCCTCTTTCTAGGATTGGCCCCCACTAGAATTCTCAAAAAATGGAAGGGAATTGAGCTAATTTTGCAATGAAAGAAACTTGACGCTTGGTCCACAAAGTCGTGATCAATGTTCACACCAATGAGCTTACTCTTGTGAAAGTTGATTTTCATTCCAGAAGCCAGTTCAAAACAACGTAAAATCGCCTTAATACACCATTGGTTCTCCCACTTTGCCCCACTTACAATAATGGTGTCATCCGCAAATTGTAGGTGAGTAATATGAGTACCCCCCCCCTCTATCTCCAACCCTTGAAACATACCCTTCTCCCTTGCCATTCTCATAAGGCCCCCTAATGCCTCCACTACAGTAATAAATAAAAACAGGGCCAAAGGGTCACCTTGCTTCAAACCTCTTCCTATTTCAAACTCTTTTGTTTCACTTCCATTCACCAAGATTGATAAATGGCCACCACACACACATGCCTCTATCCAACGAATCCATTCTTCATTAAAACCCAACTTCCGGAGCATATAGATCAAGAAAGACCATTCAATTGAATCATAAGCCTTCTCATAATCCACTTTGAGTATGAAACATGGCTTCCTTTTCTTCTTCACCCAATCTATGACCTCATTCAAAGTGGCTAACCCTTCTAACATGAGTCTCTTAGGGACAAAGGTTGTTTGAGTATGAGCGATTACCGGATCAAGCACCCTTTTCAACCTATTGGCCAATAACTTTGCCACAACCTTGTATAAGCAACCGACTAAAGAAATTGACCTATCTTCCTCTAAACCTTGTGGACACGTCGTTTTAGGAATAAGGGCCACAAAATAGGAATTTATTTCTTTTGGGAATGATGCATTTCTATAAAAGTCCCTCAACATCCACATAATCTCTTCCTTTAGCAATGGCCAGAATTTCTTTAAGAATGCGAAATTGAACACATCTGATCCTGAGCTTTTATCCTCAGAGCACGAGTGAATCATATCCACCACTTCCTCCAAGGTGAAATGTTGCATCAATGAATCATTTGCCTCCTTAGAGAGCTCTTGAAAGTACACCTCATCCAATGTGAGTCTCCTCCAACATCTTGCTTCAAAATGATACCTAAAATGGTCAAACACAAACTCTTTGATATCTTCCACCTCCTCCAACCATGCTTCTCCACTCTTGATGGCCACAATATTATTTCCTCTATACCTTGCTTTAATAAAAATATAATCCATAAACACTCCTAATCACTAAGTAGTCCATAATAAAGATCTTAATTCTCCTGCATCAATTATAATTCATTTAAACATCATATCAAACACATAAAAAAAGTATATTCAAAGCCGTCATAAGAATATATCATATAACAAGTAATTCATAAAAAAACACATCGACCTAGCTTAACACACACATATGTAAAAGGTACAATTTAATTATTAAACTACATCTAAAATAACTTTTACATATTAAATGAAATAAAGAGACTTCTTTCTAGTGCACTTCCACTTTATTTTTAAATTTGAAATTATATCTCTTACATTTGTATAGAAAATTAAAATTTTTGAATAATTAAATTGGTGATCTACCAGTTCAATTTTCTACCACTGCTTAAACAAACAACCTAATCAAATTAATCACATTTTCATTATAATAAATTTAAAATTAAATAAATTAGGCCACAATTTCACACTCTAATTTCTAAAATTTATAAAAAATTATTTTTTATTCTAAAATTGGTATTCATAGATAAGACACTCAAATAAAAATTAATTGATGAAAAAATTCAAATGCTTACCTTTATTAACATGCAGATAATTCTATCATTCAATTAAATTATAAATTTAGGAAATAAAAATTATATTAAATTTTTTACACTAAAATTTTCTATTTTTATGCTTAAGTATATATAGACTGATATAAATTAATTTTTATTATAATTTTAATTGAATATTAAAATATTGAACCATGTTATTTAATATATATTATTTAATTATTGTTATTAGACTTATTTATAATAATTTTATTATTATTAGTGGATATGGTCATTGTTATTAGATTGAATTATAATGGTAAATTTGATTGACCATTTCAAAGCTATTGTTATTTCCGTTCAGATAGTATACGCGTACATATAATATTTAAAAAAGTGATAAGAGAAGTTATCTTTTTCTGTTTTTGATTTATTTTTTTTCATCGATTAAGGAAGCACTTAATTAATTATGGATATATCAATCTCAATTATTTCAAATAATTTTAACATTTAATTCTATTATAATTTTATTTTTTATTTATCATTTATCATATTGAAAATTAAATTACAATTTTCAATCGTCAAGAAAATTGATAAAAAAACAATTATCGATTTATGTTTAGAAATACAAAATAAACTCATCAAGAAATACACAATATTCTAAACAAATTAAATATTATATGAAACATTTTATGCTTCAAAATAATTCAATCTAATTCTTAACAATTTTTTTAGATTTAAATTGTTTTTTACCTTATAAGCATTTTTAATTGCTATAAATGAGTAGTTTTTTTTAATTGTTTATTTTCAAAATTAAAAATCATAAAAATTTCTTTTAAAAACTTACATAGTAACTTCGTAAAAGAATTATTTGTAAATTTTAATCTTATCTTTCTAAAGAAATTGCAGAATTACGCACTACATTTACGGATAACTGATGCAGTAAAAATGAGGATGTTATGATATTGTAATTGAATTATATAAAAAACATTAAAGTAATAATTCAATACTTTATAAATATAAATAAAAATATATAATAAAATATATTTATTGTTCCTTAACTAATATCTTCAAAACACATGAATACTTCAAAGAAAACATTTTTTTTCCTAACATTAAAAACGAATTAAATTATTCTTGTACTTGTTCTATTGTGTTACCCAAAACAATTCAGCTTTTGCCTTGTAGTCTTAACGTGAACGATTGCAAGGATATAAGCATTTCTTTAAGCTTTTCCTTTGTCTCGGAATCAACCAAGTCACCATTGCTATTGAACTTTCCCGGTGGCCTATGTGCATTCAAGTAGAACTCTGGTTTGTTGATAAAATGAAGATCAAGAAAAACTCCAATTTGGCGAAGATGAAGTTGCGCTCTTCTCCCACCGCCAACAGCACTCACAACTGCAGCAGCTTTCCCAGCCCATACATTTGGGGGTCTTGATCCCCAATCTAACGCGTTCTTCAATGGTGCTAATGTTACACATAATTTGAAGTTAAGAAACAAATAATGTATCATTAAAGAAATTTATATATATAATGATTGTCACTAGGATTAAATTATTGATAATTCTTCATTTAATTAGCAAATTGGTGTAAAACATTTTAGTGAAGAATTAGAAAGTAGCATGCAATTAAAACAACATGCACTCAACAACATTAGGTATGATCATTGTCACATTGAATATTTGCAATTAATTCCCTTGCCCATATCCAAATTTTTCCTCAAGCACTAGTTATAACCACAATCTTGACACTACTTTCCCTTTTTACTTTCTAAATAGATAAAAATGCCATATTTCGTATTTGTTTAAACTTCGTTAAGGTATAAAAAATTAACAAAGATTGTAACTCCATCTAATAGAAAAATTACAGAATATCAGGTTTTTTGAAGTAACAAAAATCTTTGTTTTCAAAAAAGAAATGAAAACACATATTTAATTCATATACCTTCGCAACTATTTATAAAGTAGTCTATGTATGTAAAACATAATTACATTATGATCTCTATATGAACTTGTAGTTATGAAATGCTTTAGGATTCGATGTTTATAGAGGTGATAAAGGTTTAGGTTGTAGATTTAAAATGATTGGCAGTTGGATTATTGATACAAAAGTGATGGAGCTGTGATTTTTTTATGAATGGATGAGTTTAAATCTAAACAAGCTATACACATGATGCAAAAACAATATATGGTATTATTAAAGATTTAAAAAAAATAATTTAGGTTTTGAAGCTATTGTTATGTTTTGCATGGGTTATTTTTATTTATCGTTATAGTTGGTTATTTGTGGTGACATGTTATCTCAAAGTTGTGAACTACTGAGTAATAAAGATCAAATAAAGAAATTATAAGATAGATTTAGGGTGTCATTGTAACGGGAAAAGAGTGTAAAAACTAAATAATAATGTATGATGCACTTTCAATTTGCACTTTAATGAATTACAATGTAGATCGGTAAATGTGTTGATTATGAGTTATCACACTCTAATTTCATATTTAAATGTGATGTCTCAATAATAGTAATTTAACAAAATTTAAAATCACATGTAAATGAATAATAGGGGCTAGTATATGCATATGTAAGTAAATACCATAACATATATTTTAATGCTCAAGTAAATATACCCATTGAAGAAGATATAATATTGGTAGGTGGAAGGAAGTACTTGCTGTTGCTTGTTTAATTTTCTTTATTTTTTCTTCTTCTTTGGAACTATATGAGGTGGTGGTAATGTCACATTTTGACAATAATATGTTGTGTGCATAAGCTCCACATTTGCTGCATGTAATAGACATATTCATCCTATTTAATTTGTGTTTTACTTAGTTCATCCTTCTTTCTTCTACATATTTTTTTTAGTCTTCTTCCAATTGAAGTTCTAGTGTGAGGAGACAAGAAATGAGTTTGTCTAGTAGGTAACTACATTTTTTGTCCATTTATAGGATGGGTAGTTGATATGTAGCGTGTGGTATATATGTTTCTATGTGATAATGGTAATACGGATGAATAAATTACACATAAGATAACTTGTTAAAATGTATTGCTATTATTGCATGCTTACACACAAAGCAACTTGTAAATACAAAGTAAGTTAAATATGTTTTGATTACAAATTAAAGCATTGAAATTAGACGTACAAAGAATGCCCTTTAATTATAAAAGTATGCATGAAAAATGATCTCTCATAAATGTACTTGAAATATATTTGAATAATTTTGCACTTTAAATTCATGTCCACCAACTCATACAGAAAATCATTTATTAGACTTTAACTACCTCCTAATATATCTAAGTTATTTCTCAATTCGTAATTTCTTTCCTTTAATCTTAAATTTCTCATTCAAATTTCTTTTTTTAAAACCTTTTTATGATATATATATATATCCAGTAATAGATATTAATGATTAAGCATGTTTCAGCTAATTAAAAAACAAATTATTAAAATAGATATGCTTGAAACTAATTTTTTTTATATATTTTTTCTTTTGCCACTCAACAATGAATATCGCACTTACAAGTGTGATACTTATTTTTTTATTATTATTAAAAAAACAGTATCACACTTACAAAGATGATATTTATTTTTTATTATTAAAAACTTAAATACCAAATTTTTAATTTTTTTATTATTAAAAATATAAGTATTTCCTATGAGATGATACTCTCTGCTAATTGCTTAGAGGAAGAGTTTTTAAAATTAACTTATGCAAAAGTTTCTATAAATTCGAAAAATAACCGAATTAAACTTTCAATTCACGTATAATTCATATAATGATATAAAGAAGATATGTAATGAATAAACCAAATGGTAATTTTTATTTTTATTTATCATATGTATAAGGGTGTAGAGGATAATGCACTTTTATCCAAAGAAAAAAATTATGTTATAACATGCATAAATAACTGAAAATAGTTTAATAATTATTAAGATTTATCCTTTTTTTAATCATTTATTAACATGTATAACATGATTAGAAAATAAAACTTAATTCATGAATTCATTATTAGAGATTTAGTATCGTCTCCGATGAGGCATGATAAAAATAAATAAATATAGTTTTAGGTCATATCTATTTTAAAAAATTATTTTTAATTAGTATATTTTAAGTAACAAAAAAATTCAATTCTTACATTCATTTTGCTCAGGTAGCTCACCTTTGAGACTGCTATCTATCTATTTCACAATATAGTTTCATCTACGTAGTATTTCTTCATGTTTGCATAAACATGTATTATACACCTTCTTTGTTACAAAACATAATAGTTTCTCACAATGCTAAAACTAATCCAACAGAAGTGAATGTAAATAGTTAGAAATATATAAGATTAGTTATGATGTAAACAAATAATATTACTCCTAAAATGCATGTGTGATTTCTATCTATTGCAACTAATAAGATTCATCCAAATAGTGTCTTCAGGAGATAGTTATTAAGACCTAATATAGGCATATATGAGAGTGAGAAAAACAAATTTTAATTATTAGATAACATTATGAATGGTTAGAATTAAAACATATACATTATGTGAATCTTTTAAAAAGTCACATGATCTTTTTAAATGATTATGTGCCTTTCCAAATGTCATAATCATGATCATCCATGTATAATTATAAGGTCCAGATTAACACCTCTCACTCTCCTATAAAAAAAATATTTCTTTCACCTTTCATCTAGTCATGTATTAGTTCGTAACATAACATTAGATTTATGATTTGCCTTTTTCAGCAACATAAACTTACAACTTGTTAAGTGTTAGTGCAAAATTCTTGTCCATCTTTTCTTTTTTCATTCTTCTAGCCCAAAATACTTTTGAAAGAGAAATATTAGTACAATAACCTTGTTTAATGTTTTGTATTACTTTATTAAGCAATATTTGTCTATTACTTTTCATAATATTCACTATTTTATCTTCTATCTTATTTTTTTGTGGATAGACGATCATTATAACTTTTACCATATATATTCTTAATTATCCTTTTAAGTTTTTAACCTTTGTGTAAGTGAGCTTCCAACCTTACAAAAATCATTCGCTTCTTAAAAATTTTCCTGCATTTAATTTTATCATTCTTCTTAAATCTTACACCCATCCATGCAATAAAGATAATTCTTTTATGGCCTCTTTAAGCTTTATATCTAGCCTAAATTTAAAATATTTCCTCTTCTTCAAAGGATTATATTAGTCGTAAGGTATTTTGTTTGACCCACTAGTAGAAACCCTATTTCATTTACATCCAAATTAAACTCCAATTCTTTAACATCATAATTAAAATCCATTTCATCTCCACCTTAATATTTTTATTTTTTTTGGATGATACTCAATATATTTTGACCCATCTATAGCATTAGTATCATAACATAACATTAGATTCATGATTCTTCTTTCAAATTTCAGCAACATAATTCCACAACATGCTATAATATTGTGCAAAATTCCCTTCCAACTCTTCTTTTTCTATTCTTCTTGTCCAAAATACTTTTGAAATAGAAAACATTAGTACAATAACCTTGTCTTATGTTTTTTTTATCACTTTATTCATCAATATTTGTCTATTACTTCTCTTAATATCCACCAATTTATATTCTATCCATTTTTTTTAGAATATATAATTATTATAACTTTGTCTATTATATCCAATTTATAACCTTGTCTATTATTGCTCTCCAGTGTTTTTTTGATGTAATAGTTGAGTGGCCTTGAATATTAAATAATACAACTACTGGTATCTCTTACTTCACTCTCTTGAAATTCTATCTTTGACTTTACTTTTGTTTTGTTTGGTACCTCTCTAACTTTGGTTCCACATGCTAATTCCAATTGAGGGGAAATAGCAAAAAATCTATTATGAGATGTGTTATTCATGCCTCCCAAGATGTCAAATCGAGTGGATGTGCAAGAAGCAAAGGTGCTGAATCTCGACACAAGAATGCAGGTCCTCACCAAAACTTATCATAATACCTCAAAAAGAGGATGAACAATATCGCACATGAGGTGATTTTGACAAGTTTAAAAAACAATCAACAAGCTCCAAGAATAGAGGAAATGAAGAAGGGGACGAAAGAGGATGCCAAGCTTGATGTTAGAGAACAAAATATCCCGTTTAGTAAAGACCCAACTAATGGCAGCATCATTCAACAAAAGAACCAAATAATGATCTTTTTGAAGTAGAAATAACACTAAAAATTACATACACATAGATGTGAAATGAAAATTATTTTTTAGTGTAAGAATATATCTCAACTATTAAATTGTATTATGAATAGTCAAAATTTAAAAATAAAATTTAAAAGATAATTTAAATTGACATAATTTTTTTAAATAATCATGTAATTTTAATTTCTTTTTAATCTTGACTAGCTATAAAAATTGTACAATTTAGGATTCTTATTCTCATTCTTGTATAAAAATAACATTCTCACTAGGTTTACTTTCTTATACACATATTACGAGGAAATTACTTTTATTTGTATAAATTATATTTAATTTATTCTGTTTAATAACTTTTTATATAATATTTTATCTTAAATTTGACGCAGATAAATTAAAAATTTATCTAAATTGTACTTATAAAATTTAGATTAATTTAAATTATTTAATCCCTTATATATATTTAAAATAAAAAATGCAAAAAGTAAAAAATTATTCAATGTTAATTTTAAGTTAATAATATTTTAAACATATTTCAATTAAAATTAAAGGTGGATAAAAATTATTTTTTCACTTACACCTCTCCTCTCTGCTTTAAAAGAACTCAATCCTATAGATAATGTGTATAACAATTGTTTAGAATTTTAGTTTAAAACTCTAATTTCAAAGAGTTTTATTACGTAAATATACGCTACTTTTATTAATTATTTATCTACTAAATTTAAAAACCTAAGTCAACAAAGCCGCTTATTACAAAAGTTATTTTTTTAATCAAAATACTTTTGATACATATGTTTTTTCGTTCGTGGTGTTATCATCAAGTTTTCTCAACTCAATCATATTTTGATTAATTAATTTATTTTTTTACAAATTTTGTATTCAATATTTATATATTATTTCTCTAATACTGCATATGGAGAATCACCTCTCTGTATATATTATTTTAATATATTAACAGTATAATATCTTTGTCAATTTTTGGCTTAATTATGATTTTGTCCTTATAGATATAAGATTTTTTGTGATTAGTTCCTATAAATATTTTTGTTAGGAAGTGATCTTTCTAAAGTTAGTAATTTAAGAATTAGTCTATGTCGTTAATCCCTATTTGTTAAGTGCTGAGCTGGCTGACAGAAGCCAGTTCAGTACTTCACATGACGCCATGTAGCCTAATCACTTTTTACATGACATGCCACGTCATTTATTGTTTTATTTTTAAAATTAATTTTTATATTTGCAAAGAAATTCAATTTTTTATTCTCTCATCCCTTCCCTTCTTCTCCCTTTCACAGCCACTCGTCCACAACCCATTCCCTTCTTCTTCCTTACACCCACACCTCTACTTTCACCTCCTCTTCTTTCTCCCACCCCACACTCATAATCCCAACCTCTTCCCCTCCTCCTCCTCACATCCCTCCTCCCAACCCACTAAACTTATCACCAACACCATCAACCACCTCATCCACAAGCTATACCTAGACCCACAAAAACTTCTCTCATCCACCTCATAAACTAGGTTCATCATCAAAGGAAAGGTGAAGAACAAATTAATAAAAGGCCCAATCTAAACCAACCCACTAATCAACCCAAAACCCAAAGGGGAGAAATAAATGTTTATAGAAATCAATTAACAAATGAGACACTAGTACAAAAACACTTTTTACAACATGATTTTACATCAATTTTTTGTGAAAAAAGGTGAAAAAAGGTGCGATGACATTTTTGAAATTTTTGCAAACCTTTCTACATTTGTTGTCAAAAAAACTGATGTGAAAAGTAATTTTTATATCGGTTGTAAAAATAACCGATGTAAAAAAAATGTGATGGTATTTTTGAAATTTATTCAAACTTTTCTACATCGGTTATTTTAACAACCAATGTAAAATGTATATTCTACATCGGTTGTTTCTGGGAACCGATGAAAAATCAATTCAAATTTTAAATTTTTAGATATACGTCAGCGAAATAGCATAAATTGGAGACTGAAACACAAATTTTTCTTAAGTTTCTGAAATTTCTGTTCTATTAACTAGGTGGACAACGAACATGCAAAGATTTTTCAGGTACATCAATTATTTTAATTTCTTTCATTTTTTTGTTGTTTTACTTTTTGTTGTTTCTTTTTCCTTATTAAACGATTTGATGAACATTGCATCTTCTTTATGTTTCATATTCAAACAAAGATGAACAATAATGAAACACGATGAACACAGCAAACACGATGAATACAATCAACACGACAAATACGACAAACATGAAGAACTTAAAAAACACAATGAACTTGAAGAACACAACGAACATCATAAACACTGACGTTTATGGATTTTAATTTAACTTAAAAAAATATATTGATAATATTGACATGAACGTTAAAACTCTCAGAGAAGAGAAATACTGACGTCATTGATAAAGATGAACATTAAGAACATTTTTTACATCGGTTATTATAAATAGCCAATGTAGAAAGTGACACTTTTTATATCAATTTTTAACAACCAATATACAAAGTATGGACTTTTTACATCGCCTATATCTACATCGGATACGAAACTAATGTAAAAGGCTTCTTTAACCGATGTAAAAAGTTTTTTTTCCACTAGTGAGAATAATTACATCACCTAGTGATACTAACAAGAGTAGGTAAAAGTAAATGTTGGCTGAAACTGACGGATTGTGGAAATTAGTTTGTTGAATATTCTCTTAATAGAGTGTCTATTACCAATTTGGTGAGTCTTGCTTGGCTAAAAAAAATTGGTGATTTGGGTCCAAATTTGTGCTTGCTGATTACGTGCTTTGATGGGTCAACTGGGAAGTGGCCATTATTTTCATTAACAATTCCTAGTGGTACAAACACACACTATGTGCACTTTCACATGCAAGCCTACGATGTGTTCGTAAATTACGGGACTTTCTTTTGCGAGCCAAGTGGAAGATGGATATCTATCTACATGTCCATGATGTGTTCAATGAAAGGAATTAGGACCAATTCTTGAAATTATGAGGCTTTCTTTTGCAGGCCAAGTGAAAGATGGATATCATATCTACATGTCCATTTCACTATACAAGCATATGCATATCACGATGGGATAAATTTTAAGGTTTAATTCAGTAATTTTGGGGATACATATAATGTGGTTAAGAAGTGACATAAATCACGATTTTTGTATATGTAACGTGGGATAGATGATGAGCATGTCGTGCAGTTTCCTCTTGGCCCAAATTCTTAGGGCTTGGGTTGGGTTGGGTGTGAAACAGTGGCTTTAGAGTGAGTTGAGCTAAGGGGTTTTCAAATCGTTACATGTGCAAGTTCTGATAAGTATGTTTTGTGGATCAAATCTTATAATTAAATTTCCAGCAGATTTGGATGTTTTGGGGTGTGGGAAAGAAGAAAGGAAGGGGTTGTGGAGGAGTGGAGGTGGAGGAAAAGAGAGGGATAGGGGTAGAGGAAAGCTGAGGTGACAGAAAAGATTGGAGAAAGAGGAGAAAAGTGAAAGGTGAAAGAGTTTTAATGTAATTATATAAAATAATTTTAGAAATTTATTTGTAAATTTTAATTTTAAATAATAAAAAATAAAATAATAAATAACGTGGCATGTCACATAAGAAGTGATTGGACTACATAACGCCACATAAAGTGTTGAGTTATTTTTCCGTCAACCAGCTCATCACTTAACAGAAGAAGAGTTAATTGTAAGGACTAATTCCTAAATTATCAAGTACTATTTTCTAACAAAAATATTTATAGAAACTAATTACATAAAGACTTATACTTATAGAAAACAAAAACTTAATTAAGTCTCAATTTTTTTATTAGTGCTTTAAATTAAAAATAAAATGATTACAACTATTTGATGATATTAAAATAAAAATGTTATTCAAAATCTTCTATTATTATAATAGAATAAGTATGATGTGTATGTAAGAGGATATTGTATTTTTAATACAACAAATTCATTTATTACTTCCATAATTTAAAATGTTTAAATTGATTACTGGATATGGATAAAACTAACTAGAAAACAATTGTATTTGGAATAGAAAACACTGAAACCAATTAAGCAAGCGATTATAAACAAGAAAATTGAAACGAAAGTAGCGTACGAGTGATGGAGTAGTTGTAATCGGGAGAAGCAAAGAGACATGAATCAGCCTTCACAACCTTTTCACGGAACGCTTCTACTTCTGCGGGATACGTCCCGTCCACTTCCAGATCGGTGTTCATCATCGGCAACGCCGCTATCTCAATGTACTCCACGTCGACGCCTTGCATTTGCTCATTCGTCAGCTCTATCGCTACATCCCACCGCACCAGATCACAACCCCAATATAGATAATATTCTCTTCTCTTCTGCGTTTTAGATGAAAGATTATTATAAAAATAATGGAAGAGAGTAAATAATTACCAGCACGGATGAGGCCTCTGTTGTAGGAAGCTTTACGCAAAGAGCCGCAAATAGCCGCGACTTTGACGAACGGTTTGTGTGGAATTTCTTCTTCTTCCTTATCCTTCGCACTTTCGGCATCTCTGCTTCTCTTGTTTCTCGCGCGGACCAACATCGCAACTCATTGCAACTTCCAACAGGGATTCATAATATGTGTAGTTTTCTTATTCCACTTTCATTTTTTTTAAGTTTCTATTTTTTGCCACCTACTTTTGACTTTCCAAGGAACCTTAGGTGAGCTTCGGAAACTCTTGTTTTAATACTTCAATTACCTTAATTCTTTTGTTTATATTCTTTTATTTTAATATTTGATTTTATAAAACAACATTTGCTTTATATCAAAGATTTTCATTAAAATTCATTGAGAATGTAAAAACATTATACTGTACTCTCGCATCAGTAAAATATAATTTTCTATAATAATTAATTTAAAAATTATATATATATATAGTATTTTAACTACTAGACAGTATAAATAATTTTCATAAATAATAATTAAAATTAAATTCATACAAAAATGTTAAAATAAAAATTATTTTAAAAAAACTAAAAATAAAATTATAAAAATATAATATTGATACTTATAATTTAAAGGAATAAAATAAAAAAATGACTACTAACGTATTAATGCAACGGTTATTTATGCTTTAAAAAAATAAAAAATAAATGCTTGCGCAATCAGGTTATTCGTGCAATATTTCTTAGTCAACAGGATAGGATTGGATAGGATAATTGTGTGGATTGAAGAATTCGTTTCGCGTGCAACGACTTCATAGGACACCAAAGGATTAAGACATGCTTTGTGAATATTCTTCGTCGGATTTAACATAGTCTAGAACGAAAGATGAGTTATAAAAGTTAAAATTGTTGTTGAGTATGCATATAAAATATGAATTACACAATTATTAAAATATTTAATTTTAATGTGTAAAAAGTTTTGTAAACTAATTGAAAAATATAATAAATTTTTAAATTATAATAAAAACCAATAATTATTATTGAGGTACATATATATATACATTAACAGTATAATTTTTTAATATTTAATTGATATTTTCCTATTTCAAACCCAAACAACTATATTATAAAAAAAAAAAACATAAAATTCTCTCCTTAGTGGGGTGGGCAATGATTGGATTCGGTTGGTTAAATTCATAACCAAAACAGCAATGCCGATTTTAACCGTCAAGTCATCAGATAACCTTAGATTTTGATTCGAGTACTTGTATAAGTAATAGGATGAGTTTGAGCAATTTTTGCTAGGGGAGTACAAGTGGTCGAGCGAATAACTCTGAACACAAATCTATTGCTAAAATACAAAAAAAAAAAAAAAAAATAGAAGATCGAGAGAAAAAAGAAAGAAGAGGAGTAAAAGGAGGAGAGGAATTGAAGCATTGTAGGAAAGTTGTCTTGGAAAGACTGGTAAGTACGATGCAGATTTTATCAGTGGCAGCTGCGTAAGACAACTGCAACAACATATTTTTTATTATCTTTGCTGTGATTGAAGGTGAAACTAGCGATACATAATTTTTGTTTTTTAAAAAACTTAAGGAGATACGTAACCTCGCAAGAGGGGTTGTGCCTTATTTCGGATCGTCATGAGGCTATAAGAAGTGCATACTTTAAAAATAAAAGTAGTTGGAAAGAAAATAATTTTGTCCATGTCTATTATATTAGACACATTGCACAAAACTTCATGCGACGATTCAAAAACGTTACACTAAAAAAAGATGTAGTCAATATAGGTAATTTTAATTTTTACGTAGTCTATATTATCATTAATATTTTATACAATTGCTTAGTTAGTTATATTAATTGAATTTGTAATCTTGTTTTCAACATATAGGATGACTGAATCGAGAGTTTTTTACTATTACAACATAGTAAAAGATAATAATCCTAAAGTTGCACAATGGTTGGACAACATCCCAAGGAAAAATGGACACTGACATAGGACAATGAACGATGCTGGAGACACATGACAACAAATCTAGCAGAGTCAATCAATTCGGTCTTGAAGAAAACTAAAAACTTACCAATTTGCTCCATGATCATGACAACATACACCTATTGTAATAAGTTCTTCATTGACAGAAATATGGAAGTAAATGCAAAGATTAATGCTGGATATATGTACTCGAAGGTTGCAACTAAAGCAATTCAAGATGCACAATCAAATGAGAACACTCATAGAGTCATCACCTTTGATAGAACAAGCACTAGATTTTTAGTCGAAGAAACGCAACATTCGACAAAAATTTGACTTGTAGGAAGATTTACAGTACGGTTAGATGAAATGTGGTGTGATTGTGACAAATTTCAAAAAGTTCACATCTCATGCTCGTATGTACTTGCTCCATGTTTACATGCACACCACAACTTTGACATCTACATATCTCCCGTGTATACCTTACAACAAGTTTCTAAAGTATACGAAAGTCAGTTTGGAGAACTCACGAAAACTATTGCCAACTTACACCGGCCTAACTTTGTGTCCAAATCTAAAACTGAAAAGAATTTCAAAGGGTCGACCCAAGTCCAGTAGGATAAGAACAGATATAGACATTAGAGAACAACAAAATCGGGTAAAAAATTGTTCTTATTGTCACACCCCTGATCACACAAGGAAGACATGTCCAAATATCGTTCAAACTTCTAGTTCCCGTCATTGATTTATGTTGTTGTTATTATTTTAAATTTTTCTTAATGTCATTTTTAATTTTATAAATGTCATTACAACTTTTAAATTTTTAATATTTGTAATTTATATTAAATCTATAATTATATATATAATATATCTACATAATATTATTTAATTATGTTTATTAATATTAATAACATATTTTTTTAAATAAATAATTATGTACAAATTTTAATAAAGATTAATATTTCAAAATAAATAAATAAATTAGTTATTATTTAATAATTTTATTTATTTTATAAATATATAAAATTAAATAAATTATAGTTGTAATTTTTATTTTTTTTAAAAGTATAATATTAAATAACCAAAAATATAATTTCAGAATATAATATTAATATCATTTACAAAAAATCAAAATTATATTAAATAATATAATAAAAAAATAAAAATTTTATTTATTATCTTAAATATGTCAAATAAATTTTAATAAACATTTAAAATTAATATTATTTTTGTTTTTATTCATTTTTAAATAATATAAAAATATAAACATAATTCAAATAATAAAACTTATTTTATTATATATAACTAATAAAATATTTATAAATATTTATTAGAATAATATATTATAAATATTTATTTTAACAAAATATAAATATATAAATATAATTTAAATAATAATATTTATTTTATTATATAAAAATATTAAATAAAATTAAAAAATGAAAAAAAAGGCCAACTCAAAATTTAGTTTCTTGAGAATCGAATTTGGCCAAATTGATTTTGGTTTATTTGGATAATTAAATAGACTTTGAGTTTTTTTTTTTTTATACTGTAAAAATCTCAATAAAACCTTGCACCATTATGTTCATGTACGAGTTTATAAAATATGTAACGCTTTTTATTTTATTAATTATTTAAAATATATTAATAGTAATGATATTAAATGCATTTTTATTTATGTTATACTATATTTTAATAAAAAATATTATAAAAATTATTTAATATTAATTAAATGTTACAAAATTATGATATTAAATAAATTCCTCAAATAATATCAAAAGTCTTAAATTATTAAGTTAATAATCAAAATAAAAATATTTTATATTTGAAAGAATTAATATCTTAATTATTGGGAAGAGACTAAATTAATGGAAAGCATAAATCCTTGAAGGAGTAAATTACCTCCATTTTTTTAATTCGTCACCTTCAGAATATTGGATCAAGAAGACAAGAATGGACTCACCATTGCACTTAAACAGATTGTGAAGAGAAGAAGCACTATAGATAGAGAAAAAGAATAATAATAAAGAGTTAAAAATCCCTCGGAACGCCAAGTATCGACTTGGGAGGGAGCGAGGCATGAAAACCAAATGGGTTCCTCAACCTCTGTAGAAGGGAGCCCCAATTTGATTTCTGAGGAGTCAACGCCACGCTCCTCTTTCCGATTACTAAAATTTTCGTCATCGGGAGAATCTATGTTCGTGTCGTGTGCGGTTTTGTGAGCGATAGCAGAGATGGGTGAGTTTGTGTGATTCTGCGGCTGTTAGTGTTAGGGCTTCTCTTCAGAAGAATAGCCGACACAACACACCCTCTTTCATTCTACTTGTACTTTAATCCCCTGCATTGCACGCGCTTTATATTATTTTTCCATTAAATATTTTTTATGAAATTTAAAATAATTTACTTTAATTTTTAAAAAAAGTAACATTTTGAATTTGTATAATCTTGTTTAGTTTTAAAAACAAACAACACTTTGAATTGATGAAATGATGCGATGTGTACTGTTTGGATGAATGAAGATAAGAAATACACTTATTGACTAAAACGGAAAATTTCTTCTCTTTAATCTTTTAATATATTTTCTGCTGAGTTTATGAAAGATGTTTTCAAAGTCTCGAGGAGGTATATTTTTTGGATATTCCTTTTACGCTGTTTTTTTAAATCACATTTATAAAATTTTATAAGGAGATAATTCATTTCTTAAAGGATCATACCTGCTTTTTAAACGATACTAATCAGCAGTATGTCTCAAAATATATATATATATATATTTTAATAATTAAAGAAAATTTATATTTTATAAATGAGTATATATAATAAAATTGTTTAAAACATTATCTTTCATTAAAAATAATAATTTATTAAATAGTATGTCTTAAAATAAAAAATTAATAAAATTAAAAATAATTTAAAAATAATTTATTTAAAAATAATGAAAATAATGTATTAAGTATTATGAATTTTATATATAAATAAAAATATTTCAAAAAAATTATATAACATCTTGAATAACTAATTTTATCTTAATCTATATTAAAATAATGATAAAATAAAATAAAAACATGAACACTTTAAAACTATTGTACCTATAGAAATAAATATTTGTACATCCACGCGTTATATTGCATCACCTTAAACAGTAGATAGTAAATTCAATAAAAAAAAGTCAATTATAATTAATTTGTACTATAAATGC